TGTCTGGAGAGAAAAGCACAGAACTGGGTATGGGGGGAGGGAGAAGAGACCACAAAGCTCCACCGCTCACCTCTGCAGCTTGCCGCATCTGATGCCGCTGAGCAGCTGCTCTTTCTCCGATGCAGTTTTGCAGGCAGCATAGGCAGCCAGAAGGCTGCAGGGAGAGGGAGAAAATAAACAGCTTTAGTCCCACCTTTTTTTTTTTATAAGACAAGGTTTTTATCGGTGGGAAAGAGAAGGTGCTTGTCATGTGGAATTACCTCCATGGGAGATGATTTTCAGCCGGAATGGAAGCTCTCCCTTGCTGGGGGGGGGTTACCCCTGAGCCCCAAAGAACTGCCTTTCTGGATCAACCCAAAAGATCCATCCAGCTCAGCACTCCCCACTCCCCCTAAGTAAAAAGCCCAGGATTGGCCTCTATGAGTCGCTTGATGGCACCCAACATCCCTTCCCTGAAGCGGCTGCCTTATAGTTGGGTGGCCTTTGTAAGGAAGGTGTTCCACCCTCGTGGATGATTTTGGTTGCCCTCTTCGGCGCCATGTATAGCGTCATTGTGCCACTAGTCCATTAGCGCCTGCCTGAAAAGGTAAAGGAAAGCAGAGCGCCCCATCACGACTGGTACCTGGCTGGTGTCTTGTACCGCTCCAGGATGGCAGCTGCTTTCTCTCCACTGATGCCACTGATCTGCATGAGCTGCCGAGCAAAGACCTCGTTCACTGTCTGGGGCTGGAGGTGGAAGGAGAGGAAAGGTAGGGGTAAGGATGGGCAGATTCCTCTCGCTGAAATCCCCACTTCTCTCTCCAGACTAGGAAAGGGGAAGACTGAGACCTGCCCACCAAGGTTACTGGGATGGCAAATAATGGAGTAATTTCCAAACTGGAATTATAAACAGATGCAGTGTGTATTTGGGCTAGGGAAAAACAAAAAGTGGCTTCTTGCTTATTTTCAGTATTTAGGGGGTAGACTTCTTGACCAAGAGGCGCTCTGCACCCCCTTTAAATGCACATGCCCTCCTGTGTTCTCCCACTCAACAACCTACACAATGATCTACTCAACAACCTTGTTCTTCATGGCTCCCTCGTTAAATTCAGCAAAGGTCATGAGCATGCAGGAGTCGTTCCTGGGCTGCAGGGGGCACTCTCGCTCCAATTCTTCCTTTGTACAACACAGAAGAGTTTTGTCCTAGGAGAAAGAGAAGAGGCACTCTGTGGGTTTGGAACCACAGCATCCCTCCACCCCCAATCCCTGGTCTCCTAACACTCCCCATCTTTCTATAAACTTTGTTAATTGCTCTCAACCAGGAAGGAAACTAGAGCTACCAGAAGGCCACTATTCAAGCCAGGGCTGAGAGGTTCCTCTGCTACAGTCACCACCCAACGCAAGGTATCTTAATTCAGGTGGAACTGATTTGATAGCATCTGTATACAGTTGCACCAAAAAAAGGTTTGGAAGGGTGAAAAATCTTTGTTTTTAGCACGATGCACACACTATATGAGTTGGAGCAGCTCAGAGGGTGGAATTCCCTGCTGAGGGAGAGGAAGAAAGCATCTTCTGGGACAGTCTTTGTCACGTGTGGATTCTGAAAACACCAGTATTAAAAATAATACAAGAAAAGGAAAAAAACACATGGGCTACTCACTTTACTGAAGGCTCCTGTTTAAGGCACCAAAACCTTTGATCGATAAAACATTGCAGAGCTATTATCTGCATGCAAAACACTAAAGAGCATGTCTAGAATGCCTTACAAGAACCACCGAATAATCTCCACCTGCCCCTACGCATCTTGTATTGGGGAGGGGAGGCAGGATAAGAACATAAAAACTGCCATGGTGGGCTAGACGAGGGAGTCATGTGTTCTCGTTTCCTGTTTCCAACAGAGACCAGCTCAACACCTCTGAAGGCAAAAGCCCTCCCCATTACTGATCTCTCTACTGCATCTGATACTACCTCTGCACGTGGAAGCTTCATCACAAATGTGGCTTCCAGGCATGCTCACATAATTTCATTAAAAAAAAAAAATTAAAATCAAGAAACATCATCTATGACATCTCAAGTATAATCTTTCGATTTCGATTTATTAATCGCTCAATCCTTGCAGAACCCACGGTTCTGGGTTGTGAGGCCCCTCTACACCCCTACTCAGAACTCACCCCGTACAACTTAGTCAGGTGACGCGTCATAATAGTCAGGTATGCAGCTGATTCCCGAATATCATGGGTGCGTTTGACAAAGAAGCCATCCACCACCTGGGAGAAATGGGAGTTGTCAGATCAGTAAGATGTAGCTAGCCTCCCTCCACAGGTTCCAGCAGCACCCAAGCGCCTAAGGACAGCAGGGACCAGCTTGGAAGGGAGATGGGAATCCAAAGCTGCAATGGATTCTGGGCCACGTCTCCAGTGCAAAACAAGGATATCCTGCTCATGTGCAAGACCCCTGGGCAGAGGAAGAGTCTGTACCTGAGTGTTGGTGATTGCTTGCTGGAGAGTCTTTTCAGGGAGGCTGAGGTGCTGCACAGAGCCTGAGTCTTCAACCAGGTAGATGGGGTGGGAAATGCCGCACTGTCGCAGACGGAACTGGATGAGGGTGGAAAAGAAAGAGGTGGACCGGATTACAATCTGCCCAGGGCTGGGTTACTAGTGTGTGAGCCAAGCAGAGTGCTAACTCTCCCGAGTTAGTAGCCTCCAAAAAGACAGTAAAATAAAACAGGGATCCAGTGGCACCTTGGAGAGTAAGATAATCTATTCCACCTTTATTCCAGTGAGACGGCAAAGCAGAGCGGTCAGAGTGTGGCCCTGGGACAAGTAGGCCTGACTCTCCACTCTGTCAGGGAAGCTTGCTGGGTGACCTCGGGCCAGTCACATTCTCTCAGCCTCACCTACCTCAAATGTGGTGCCTGTGAGAGAAACGAGGAGAGCAAGTTCCCCCTTCACTACTCTGATGCAGTGGTCAGAATGTCAGCCTAGGATCTGGGACACCCAGCTTCCAATCCCCCCCCGGCCATGCCCGCTCACTAGGGGACCTGGAGGCCGTCACCCACTCTCAGCTCTAACGATGGCTGTTGTGAGGGTAAAGTGGAGGAAAGGAGAATGATGTCGCAAGTCGCTATGGGTCCCCCTTGGTTGAGAAAAGTGGGATGTAAATAAAATTAATAAATAAAAATGAATAGTAAGCTTTTGTGAGTCACAGCTGAACTGGATTCCTGTTTTATTTTGCCACTACAGACCAACCCATCTGGAATTATCACCTGAAGGATAGCAATACTTGTACGTACACACTACAGTCAGTCTCGTCATGCACTCATGCTTTTTCCAGTGGCTAAATTCCAAAACAAGAGACACTGACCAGCCAGCCATGCATTCAGCTTCAAAGGGGAGGGGTGCGTGAGCATACATACATACACACTTGCGTACAATCCTTGGTTACAGTCTTGGAGGGAAATTAACTCTGCAGGGTGCCGAGCCCTGCATCTCTTTCCTGTTTCCAGGAATCTCTGATCCCACCCAGCTCCTCGAAAGGCCCGTTTGCCAGTCCCCTCGTCACCCAGCACCTTCTGCTCACGAAAACGCCCGTCCATGATGCTGCTACACAAATCAGGCATCCGTTTCCGTTCCACCACATAGTCCAGCACCAGCTCCCGAGCTGTAAGCGGTTGTAGCTGCCCTGAAAGACAAGGGGGCAGGGTTAGGACAGCGATACACCCAACAAGCCAGCTCTGATCTTCCCAACAGGGGTTCTTTGCCGTGCCTCCCCACCAGGCCATAGTGGGGAGATCTTCTTCTTCAGCAGCAGCTGCTCCCTCTCCTCCGGAATGGCATACTGGGGGAAATTAATTGAACTCTTCCCAATATCAGATTTCAAAGCTTTTGAGTGGATTGCTGATTTAGTGAAAAACAGCAGCAGTGTTGAAAAAGCTATTTATTTTAATGCTTAATTTTTCTTTATTTTATTTTTTTTTAAATTGCATTTTTACCCCGCCCTCCCCGCGAACGGGCTCTGCGAACATGTTTAATCATGTGTTGTTTTATGCTGAGAATGGCTTTGAACTTCAGAGAATACCATTAAATGCCAACAATGCCCTTCTCTACATAGGGCAAACAGGTCAAAGCCTACGCCAAAGGATAAATGGAGATGAACCTGACATCAAGCATCACAAAACAGAGAAACCTACAGGAGAAAATTTCAACCTTCCAGGACACTCAGTGGGGGGCCTCAAAGTAGCTGTTGCATACAAAGGAGTTTCAGAAACAGACTAAATGGGAGATTACAACACTCAGGACAGTGGAACCACAGTCCGTAATAATTTGTCCAAGTAACTTTGTGAATCATTTTGTCCAGTGCTATCCTTATTGCCTGCATAGAAAAGCCTTCCTGAACAACTCAGTTTTGCATAGTTTGCAGAAAGCCAGGAGAATGGGAACCCTGATTTCCATAAGGTAGGGGCCACAACGGAGAAGGCATGTGTGACTTAAGCAGGCCAGGGGAAACTTTCCCCATCGGGTGCACTGCTGGTCGTGTTGTTGCTAGGAACCAGAAGGAAAAAAGCCTCCAACAGAATTCCAGCCCACGGTAGTGAAAACAACCTAAAGAAGCAAATGGCTCCAGTTCTCTGCCAACTCGGGAAGTGGTGGGTTTCAAGAGGAGCCAGGATCCAAACACCTCCCACCTGCAACTGGAGAGTGCCTCTCCCTGGCAACCCAGAGGAAATCTCCAATATGAAGCTTCCGAATGCTGAAAGGCACACCGTTTCGCTCGAGTTCATTCACGAAGTCTTGTTTGCGGGATGTGGGGCCCCTAAAAGGGAAAGGGAGGGTGAAGCAGCTATTTAGAGCTTGTTTATGTGGTCAGAAATCTGGAAATGCTTATCCCAAGGTTGTTATCCTGAAATAACAATCCCAGCCTTCACAGTAAGGGAGTTCTAGGTTGTTCCACCCATGGGTGCACTGGCCCCGGCAATTGTTTCCACACCAGGATTATTCCAAAGGTCAGCTGTTCCTTCTCTACAATCAGCTTGGTTGTTGGTCTTAAAGCTGCCACTGGACTCAAAATTTGTTCAAATGTTTCTCGTTTGTTATACAATCACTTCCCTTATTTGCTTAATTAGCTGCTTCTTGCTCTCTCTTGGTGGTCGTGATTAATTCTTAAGCATAAGTTTACTAAGGGAAGCAGTGGCTTTCATACGTGTTCTTCCCTCTGCAGCAAAGCAATTGCTCATTAACTTTTATTTTTCCTTTATTGCAACTTTTTAAAGTTAGTGCAATTATCAATGTAACAAACCAAACGAAAAAGAAAAAAAGAAAGTAAATGGGAGTGCTTTGGCCCACTCTGAAGAACAAGCAGTGACCATCGAGGGCCATTTCAGAAAAGCAATAGGTGCTATAAGTGAATGCCCCACTGCTGGACCTCCTGATGGCACCTGATATTTTTGGCCACTGTGTGATGGAGCGTTGGACTGGATGGGCCATTGGCCTGATCCAACATTGGCTTCTGTTATGTTCTTATGCAAAGAAACCTATTGAACTGATAAGAGAAGCAGCTTGTAGAACAAAAGACCAAAGTGGAAAAGGACAGTAACCCCAAGAAACCACAATAGCACTTTGACTATCTATACTGAATAGTCCAACACTGCAGTATTAAGCTTGCTTTTCAATTGACACAAATCATGTCTTTTTCCCTCCCTCAGATAAGAAGGCAATGGAAAACCCCTGGAATGCCATGGTGACGAAATCCACAACAAACTAGAGTGTGATCCTACAAAAGCACCCCACTTCAAACCATTACTTTCCCCTCACTTCCACCCTCACTTCATCATGGCTGCTACTCACCCTGTGGTTTCAATGAAATCCACACACAGAATCACGTCAAACTGTCCTGGGTGGAAGGTAAACAGGGGCTTAAATGCCTCTGGTCTTGGCTCCCTGGGGGGGAAAGAAAAATCCAGCCGGTTCAGTAGCAGAACTTCTCCCACTCTATAGTGGGAGATCTTGCAAGGAGATCTTAGTATAGCACATTCTCCTCCTTTCCACAAGCATTGTGTCTCTAGTTACAACAAGAGAGTGCAGTCAGTATAAATCATGGCCAACTCCCGGAATTTCATGGGAGTCAGGAGGTGGTAAGCTATCACTTTACTGCGGCCAGCCACAGTCTTTACTTCAACAGCTACCCTCTGGCAACTACACCACCTCTGCCATTCGACTGAACCCAAGGAGAAGAACTCCTCCCCTGAGCAGAAGAACAGCTGCCTGCAACTCGGAGAGCAGGGAGGCCACTCACTCAGGAGAGGCGTCTTGGTCTGAGCGCTGCACGTCATCGCCCTCCGAATCCACCAAGAGCTCTTCCGTTCCAGCAGCTGGGAGTCTGAGGTCATCATCTTGCGAAAGAGGCGCCTTTCCCAAAGCTAGCAACTCCTTGCCCAAGACTAGCCCCGTCTCTGTTAGAGAATACCTGCCAGAGCAGAGCAAATGAGCCAAAGCTGCCTCCACTCAGGCCCAGCAAGACCCTCCATCCCATCATCCCTCTCACCATCTCTCTTGCACCGTGTTTGGACGGCTGTTTCCCACCTCCCCCAATCCCAGGCACCAAATTCCATTATGGCAGGCCACACTGACAGAGTTCACTAGGAACAGGGGCACACAGACCAATGGGTTCCCCTAGACAGAAAAGGTGGGTCAGCCCTCCCCACGGCTTAATCATAGACTCCACTGATCCACACGGACACGATGATTGGCACCCTACAACATGGCATGGCCTTCTGGGAATGCCAGAGTCCTTCTAGCACCCAGAGAGCTTCATGTGTTTGGGTTTTTTAAAGGAAATTTCTAGCCCTCATGAATTTAACTTGGGAACCCATTAACGGATTATAACAGAAGCTCATAAACCAACTCAGGCTACAGATTTTGCCTCATCCCAGATCTCTGTAGTGGAATACCCTCACCTAGCCGGGATATTGGTCTTGAGGACTAGCTCCTTGCAAATCAAAGTGCTGACTGCGGACCAGGCAGTGGCCTTACTCCCAGGACCGGCCTACAAGTATGAAAAAAATTAACATGAGCACCAAAGCTTTGGATATGGGTTAGCAATATTGTCCTGACCTGGATAGGCCAGGCCAGCCCTGTCTTGACAGATCTCAGAGCTAAGCAGGGTCGGCCCTGGCCAGTATTTGGGTAGGAGAGCACCAAGGAATGCCAGGGCCAGGAGGCAGGCAATGGCAGGCCACCTCTGAACATTCTCTGACTTTGAAAACCCTGGGGGTCGCCAGAAGTCAGCTGCAACTTGAGAGCAATATATACTTATATAAATCAGGGAAGAGGAAGGTTGTCAAGATAAGGTGGACTGGGATCACATTGCAGAGGCAACCAAAGACGCTTCACAAGTGGATGTTCACTCTGGAGCATAAGGACTGGTTGCGAGACTCACCGGAAAGAACGATTTATCGCACAGTGGCTGGGCCGCTCGCTGCAGCTCCGGCTTTGTCAGATATCCACGAGTGTGAGGTCTCTGAGGAAGGCAACAGCACAGATTCCTTTTTTACTTTTTTATGCAGAGCTCTATTGTCTCGGACCTCTCTCCCACCAGACTCCACAGCCCTCTAAGCCTTGGGAAACCCAGATGTCCACAACGCACAGTCCTCCAAACTCGAATGCAGTGGGATCACACTGGCCCCGATGGAGTGTGGAAATGAGGACTCCCCCCCCCCCATATCCATATGCCTTTCTTGAGTCTTTGAGCTGCCCATATCTTACAATGCTATCCTGGTAGAGAGCCACCAACACAGCATAGGCCCCAGACCGCTGAGCAGGGAAGTATCTGCGAGCACGTCGGTGTGATGCAGGCTTAGTTTTCTAAAAGCAGAGAGAAGAATTAAGTGTGCCTTCCCTCCGGGACTCCTCCTCTCACCACTCCACAAAATTCTCTCTTGTGACAATCACATGGCAATCATTGCCTGTGTCTGGGGATGTTGGCTGAGACAGGGCTCAGCCTTAGAAGTGATCTGCAGTACTGGACCATGAAAGGGAGGCAGCAGTGAAGCTGTGTGCAGCCTAAGGGTCACAGCCAAACTACCAATGCAGTTTTAAGTCAGTATTTCCTGTTTCTAATTGAACATGTATGTTTGCATGGTGAGCAGTAGCCAACGGAGCTTGCATCGTAGAGATACAGGGCAAATGCAGTTCCCATTATCTGCACCACAGTCCTACAACCAAAGGCAGCTACGACTTTGGTACCGGAAACTCAGGACTGCGTGCCACTCTAGTATTTTCTAAACTCTATGGCTGCACTTAAGGAAAAGATCCTGGGGTGCGTCCCTCAGACATTTGATGTTTTGGGAATGGCCTGGCAAAGAGAAAGTGAGGCGATACCTTTCATTTGCATTAAATGCAGGACATAAACTTCTGGGTTACACAACACTCCGTTACAGTCTACATTTTTTAAAAACGGAGTGTTTTGTTCCAGTGGTTAGTGGTAAGGAAGGATTTTCATCTTGGAATAAGGCTGATTCACTGCACAACTACTCAAGGAAACTTTGCTAATCTAAATAAAATGACAATGAAGGACACTGTGAAAACACATCACCTTCTTACCTTTAAGTGCTGTTCTTGAGGCTGGTCTGGCTTGGTAGAAGACGGGACAGGCAGAAGTACTGGGATGTCACTGCCAGGTGCGCCTTTGCTGCCGGGAGGGTCACCATCTTCTTGTCCACTCCAGGAGGCAGTTGGGGCCGCCAGATCTGAAATTCACAGTACTCAGCACTCAAACAGCACTATTACAGGGGTCAAAGCACTTCATTTTTATTTACTTATTTAAAAACACTTTCTACCTTGTGGAACTCAATGTGGCTTAAAATGTAAATAAAACAACAATGACACACAAAAAAACCCCCATAGAAGAACAAAATTTAAAATCTCAATTAGGACTGCCAATCAATTAAAAACTAAATTAGCCAAATGCAGTCCTCAATAAAACTGTCTTCAGTTGCCTCCTAAAGATCAAAAGTGGGGGAGCCGGGTGTACCTCTCTGGGGAGCTTATTCCATCATCACTGAAAAGGCCTTCTCTTGCGCCCACCAGGTGAGCTTCTTTGGTCCGTGAGACAGTCAGGAGTGCCTCTCCCTGAGGTTTGTTATTCCCAGGTAGGAACATACTGGAGAAAACAGTCCTTCAGCTATCCCGGTCCCAAGACACGTAGGGCTTTAAAGAACAAAACCAACTCCTTGAATTGGAATTGGGAGTGGACCTGTAGCCAGTGTAATTGACGTAGTATCAGAGTCACATGCTCCAGGAGCTGGGCCCAACCATCAATCTAGCTGCAGCATTCCACACCAGCTGCAGCTTCCGAATGCTCTTCAATGCTAAGTAGAGCACAATGCAATAGTCCTGTCTAGACGTAATTATGGCATGGATCACTGTGGCGAGATCTGACCGAACCAGGAACGGGTGTAGCTGATGCACCTGCCAAAGCTGGGCAAAACCACGCTGAGCCCCTGCAACAGTTTTCAAAGGTGACTGCTGGGTCAAGCAAGACTCCCGAGCTGCAAATCGGGGTTTTCAAATGGAATACAACCCCATCCAAGACAAGAGAGATCACAAGTCTTGGGTCTTCCTTTCTTCTGACCCAGAGAACCTCTGTCTTGGTTTCAGCCTTTCCTTCCACATACTAGTGACCTCCTGAAGACCTCCCCAATGGCTTCATACAGCTATTACACAGCATGGGGGATAAGACTGAACCCCGCAGAACCCCATAGGCCAACCACCAAGGGGCAGAGCAGAAATCCCCCAACACTATCTTCTGGGACTGATCCCCCCAGACAGGACTTCGAACCACTGAACACAGTGGTTCCCAGCACCGAGAGGCAGTTCAGTAAGATACTATGCTCAATAGTATCAAAGGCAACTGAGAGATCCAGCAGTACTAGCAGGGTCACATTCCCCCTGTCTAGTTCTCAACAGATGCCATCAGCCAAGGCAACCAAAGTAGTCTCACTTCACAGAGTTCTCCTGTTGCAGTCCTTACAACAATCCGGTAAGGCTAGGCTCATTACCCCACACACAGCAAACAGGGAACTAAGACTGAAAGGGTCATCGAAGGCCATCTATTGAGCTCGCAGCAAAGGTGAGATCTGATCCCAGTACTTGCTGATTTGTAGCTCTGTCCCCCAGCCATTATGGGTGGGGTTGTGGCTCGGTCATGTAGGTCCCAGGTTCAATCCCCGGTATCTCCAACTGAAGCAGCAGGTGATGTCAGTGGATCTCCACCAGAATCCCCAGAGAGCTGCTGACAGTTTGAGTAAGCAATACTGACCTTGACTGATTCAGTATAAGGCAGCTTCACGTGTTCGCCATGCTATTCCAAAACCAGTCCTGGTCTGGGCAGTCTAAATAGGGTCATGCACAATGCACACTAAGCAACCTGTGCAGCCCTTTTACTATTATTCCATTCCTCTCTTCCTGCTTGTTCTTGAAGAGGGCTAAAGCAACTAAAACGCCAGCCTCTCTCCAAATACAGAGGTCTTTTCTTAGTTTTATCCATTTTCTTGCTTAATTTCACAGCCACAGGGGCAAGACAATTATAACGAAAGGTTAGTCTTGCAGACCCAAATGAGGTTAGACTGCAACAGTTGCATTTGTTTACACATGACCAAGGCAAACTTGTGAGTGAATAGTGCTTGCTTGTGAATTTTATTTTAGCATCATGCTGGAGTATTGGTGAGATAAGACGAACTCTTCCCATACGATGGGATTATTGAGGATGACTGAGTGCTAGTGAGAGAGTATGTCACATGCTTTGCACATAGAAAGTCGCAGGTTCAAACCACTGGGTATTTCCTGGTTAAAAGAATTTCAAACCTTTCTGTGCTTGAGAACCTGAAGGGCAGCTGCTGGTTGCGGTAGCCAATATGGAACTAAATAGGCCAGTAGGTTCCATGAGCATCAATTTCATATGTCCATTTTCTCTTACCTAAGTGTCCCTTTGATTGTTAAAATCAGGCCCAGCACAAACAGCGCACAAATGTGCCTCCCGCTATCACCACCAGTTTATCACATAACAAATTCTTGGGGAGGGGGAAGCAGAAACTTAGAAGAGCTCTTTGTAGGCCTCTGATCCCACATGCTTTCAACATTCACACCTGCCAATGACATACCCTCCTGTGTGAAGCGATGCTTCTCCAGTTGCTCATCTAACTGGCGACAAATGTGCTCCCCAAAGTACTGCAGAATCCGGGCCTCACGCCCGCTGCGCAGAGGGAGCGGATACTTGTGGAGAGAGCTCAGCGCCTGTGGGCAAGAAGCAGGACAAACTGCAAGGTGGAAAAGGAAATCTGACCCGCCTGCTCCCTGTTTCCCAGTTTCTTTGACAACAGGCAGAGAGGGAAGGGAGCAGGATTGGTAGCATCTCCTCCAGTCAACACCAAGGCTGCAGGAGTAACTGACACCCTGTAACTGAAGCAGGCAGGGTCATATCTGCCAATTCTATTACTTTCCTGTTCTGCCATTGCATTGACCTCTGGAAAACAACATCAGCAGCCAGAAGGGTGTCAGATTAAGTCTGCTGCGATTGGACCAATCTCTGCTCTGGCTATGCCACATCACAGAAATCTGTTTCACCTGCAAGACTCCTCTGCCTACAGGAAAGTGGCAGTTCAGTCAGGGTGGATTTAGATGGCTCATGGTCAGGGGAGATCCTAGCTCCTACAGGTGTCATAATGTAGCTGTGCTGGCCTGCAGTACAACGGCTAGATTCGATTCCAGCAGCACCATAGAGGCCAATAAGATTTACAGGGTATATACTTTCAAGAGTCAAAGCTTGGTGTCTGATACAGGGCGCTTTGACTCTCAAAAGTTTATACCTGAAAATCTTGTTGGTCTCTAAGCTGCTCCTGGACTCGAATCTAACTAACTCCTAAAATGCAGTCATGAGGATAATAAGCACACCCACGGGACTTCACTTATTCCATGAGGCACAATGACCAGGGTAGGGCTTACTTTCAAAAGAACATGTGGCTTATCCCTAAAGTGAGGGGTGGTGGGAGGTGACTATCCAGGTACGGGGAGAAACTTATCCTGAGGGTACAGTCAGAAGACGCAGCAAACCCCAAAGGAGCCGTAGCAGGCCGGCACTGCCCGGCTCCACCATGCGGGTATCAACCTTTTTGGACCGAAAAAGGTAATCTTATATTACAGGCGTGGCCTGTTTGAAAGGGGGCAGGGCACTAATGAGACGATACTAGACTGAATGTAGTTTAGGCAAGGTAAGGAGACAATGAAGCTATCCGAAGGGCCTGGTTTGTATGCAAAGAGGCATGGCCTACCCTTTCATAAGCCCGTTGGAGCCTAAAGCGCCCGCGCTCGGCGGCCTGATCACGCCACTCTTCCAGCCAGCGTCGGAATAACGGATTTGGGAATTCTTGACGACGCTTCGGCATGGTCCGAAGGCGGGACCACCCTTCTTCCGCCTTGCCCCCTTTAACCCGGAACTGGTCGAACGTCCTTGCCATAGAGTCACCTAAGGCTGGGCTTTGAATATGAATAGGGTAGAGCGGGCCACGGCTGGTTTGGGCATGCGCGCTGCACCCCCTGGCGGCTGACAGGCACCAGCCTCTCAAGCCTTTCTTAGGCTGAAAGCCTCCCGCAACTCCCATGCCCACACCCAGCCAGGACTCTAAAGAGTAGCCGCGCCCACCCTCCAGGGAGGGGAATTAGTTAGGTGTGGTTTTTCTTCATTGACCCTTTTCATTCCGACCCTTTAGGGAAGAAAAAAACAAACGAACATAATGAGCTAAATAATTAGATTTTATAGGAGCTTTGACAAAATATATATGAATTTAATACTGTCCATTCATTGACCAATTTCTGTAGATGCTTCTTTAAACACAGAACAAAAGTAGAGTTCAGTGATACCTTAAAGACCATCAAAAATTTCCCGGTTGTAAGCTTTTTGTGAGTCAAAGCTCACTTAACCAGATACAAATGGGAATAAAGACCCATCACCCCTTATATCCAGATCAGAAGGGATGTTACAAAGAAGGGGCAGCTGAAGGCAGGAAGTTCCATTTTTTTACATTGTACCTCTGCAGCCTGACTCCAACTGTCCCTTCTTTATAGGGTTGCCAACCTCCAGGGGGTAGCTGGAGATCTCCTGCTACTACAACTGATCTCCAGGCAGCAGAGATCAATTCACAGGAGAAAATGACCACTTTGGAAGGTGAACCCTATGGCATTATACACCACTGAAGTCCCTCCCATCCCTAAACCCCGCTTTCCTCAGGCTCCACACCCAAAATCTCCAGGTATTTCCGAACAGGACCTGGCAAACCTACTTTATTTATTTATAGATTTATACCCTGCCCTCCCTTGCTGAGGCACAAATTTTGTTGATCCTCAAGGTGGTACTGGACTTGAGTTTTGTTTTGCTACTTCATGTGGAAGTGCTCTGATGGACCCAAACCAGTTTTAAAAAAGAAAGAAAGGTCATAAGAACATAAAAACATAAGAAGAGACCTGCAGGATCAGACCAATGGTCCATCTAGTCCAGCATCCTGTCTCACACAGTAGCCAACCAGTTCCTCTGGACGGCCAACAAGGGGGCATAGAAGCCGAGGCCTTCCCCTGATGTTGCCTCCTGGCTCTGGGATTCAGAGGATTAGTGCCTCTGAATGTGGACGTTCCCCTCAGCCACCACGGCTAGTAGCCATTGATAGACTTACCCTCCATGAACCTATCTAATCCCCTTTTAAAACGGTTGGAACCAGAGGCTCAGGCAAAGTGAACATTCACCAGTCACCCAGGGCTGTTTAAATACACAGTTTTGCCATTTGTGCTGAAAAATGTTCTGATGACTTCTCAGTGCCTAATAAACTGTCTGCTCTGCTGTGGCATGTCCGGATGATATTACAGAGTTCTCCAGTTCCTGGGAGGAACACCTGGAGCATGTGCAGACTGTCTTGCAATGTCTGCAGGATGCAGGGTTCACACTGAAAGCTCACAAGTGCCAGACTGTGTTACCCAAAGTTGTCTGTTTGGGACACAGGGTGGGGCGGAAAGGGATACAACCAGTTGTGTCCAAAGTAGAGGTGGTCGAAAATATTGGGTTAAATGTTAAAAAAAAAAATTATTTTTTTTGGGAGCACAGAAGCTTTCTGCAGTACCCCTGATCTTCCACATTTGCCAGTTAATTGAAAAACACTCTTCAAACACATTACAAAGATGACCTGATTCCAATGGTAACAAGAGAAAGAGATTTTACTTACAAAAATAGCAGCACATCTTACGTGACATATTCATGTAGGTACATATAACTTATTGTGAACAGATTAACTTCAAAAGGTTAACTTGCTACAGCTCCAAGCCCACGTATGAGAGAAGAAGAAAAGTCCTATATAAGATGAAAACAAAAAGCAAACAAGGGCCAAATGAGAGGGTGGGGCCAAGTATACCCAAGTGAGAGAATTACCTTCCCCTTGCATATCCTATTGCATGCAAAGTTACAATATCCCACACACGTTCTTAACGTTTCAGGCAAGAGTTCTCAAATTTCAGCTTATCTCATAGTCTTTCAAATCTGTCTCTTGCTAGAAGTTTGGTCAGGATGTCGACCACCATCTCTTTCATTGAACAGTACTCCACCTCCATTATGCCCTTCTCAGTTAGGTCACACACTAAATGAAACTTCACACTAATGTGCTTAGAGCGTGCAGCTATTTTTTCTGATTGAGAAATCTTAATGCAGCTCTGGTTGTCTTCTTTAGGTTGAACTGGATTTTGTTCATCAACTCCAAAGTCTCTTAGTAACTGCTCTAGCCACAACAATTCTCTGAAAGTTTCAGCAACTGCTATATAATCAGATTCTGTGGAAGACAAACATTGTAGGTGCACCTAGGAGACAGGTGCACTTCCATACAAAAAACAGTACCCATTTGTGGATTTATAGTCTAAAGTGTCACCTGCCCAATCTACATTCATGTAACCAACTAATTTTGCATTGCTGGTAGATGGAAATTTTAGTTTCAAATCTAAAGTCCCTTTTAGATATCTAGCCACTCTTTTCACTGCAGCCCACTCTTTCTTGCTAGGTGCACTTGTCTTTCTACCGAAGATTCCAACACTGGTTGCAATATCAGGTCTGCTAGTGGTGCTTAAGTATAGAAGTTTTCCTATGCCGTTTCTGTACTGATTGTCTTCAGGTAAATGCTCACTTATTTCAGTGTTCTTAAGAAAGTCAGGCCGCGATCATACGCACAATTAGACCCACCATAGGCACGAATGCCAGGCAAATTTCTAGGGTGCGATCAGACAACAACATCTGCCCCGCTGCAGAAGCAGAGTAAAAAGACACTGGGGAAAATCCAGTAGTAAACGAGTTGCGACAGGCCACAGATGGACTTTCCTGTGTCTGATCGCTCCCGCGTGCTCTCATGGCGTCGGGATGGTCTGATCAGGTCATCTTGACTCCGTGCCATTGTTATTTCCCCCCTTCACAGTATGCGCATCATCGCAAACTCCATAGGGAGCCCTCAGTGCGGAGATGCGATTTATCAATTCCTCGTTTAAGCACATCGGAAACAAATGGCAAAAAACAAACAAACCCTGACTCACCTGCGGTTGCGTCTGATCACACAGTGGTGGGCTGTGCCTGCAGCTTCCAAGGACTATGTGACCGCGCAACTGCGGGTCAAATTCTTCTGGAGGAAGTAGCCTTGCTCCTCCACCCTGTTTTTTCTGGCATGTGTGAACGCAACCTCAGTTTCCATAGGTGTTACTGGTGTGTTGCCATTTTCTGGCCCTAACTTCTGTAAGAGTTCAATTATTTTTTGTCTCTGGTTTAGGAGAAATGAACCATCTTCCTCCCTTTCAATTTGTACACCCAGGCAGAAGCCCTGAAAATCAGGGGGAACCCCTGCTGGGACCTGGGGACCGACAACCCTACACTGCCTTCTTCCACCTACTGGCTTCGGTTGCTGGCATCTGTTCTACTTCCTTCCAGGTAGGAGGTTCAGATGGTGACACCGACCTTCCATGGTAGGATAAGCACAAGGCTGTTATGCCTTTGTTTGGTCATGATGAGCATTGAAAGTGCGATCCTGGATTTTCATCTGCTGTCATAGAGCTGTCCAGTCCACCTTCTTCTCATTCTCACTTGCTTCCTCTTCCTGTGTTGTACTGCTCTGATTATCTCTGGCAAGATTGCTTCAGAATTTGCCTTCTCAGGTTGTGGGTCTTGCACTGATGTTTCAACGTTATGCACTGGTTCAAGGTCCAAGAGTCGATACTGGTCATCTGCCTTTTCTGAGTCACATGATACAGTTCCTTCCTTACTGGCTCTGCTTTTGTCAAAGTGAATCACATGCCTGACACAGACTTCACCTGTCTCTGGGTACAGCACTCTGTACTCCTACCTTCCAGACCAGAACCATATCCCACAAAAACACTTTCTCTGGTTCTGGGATCTAGTTTTTGTCTGGCACCTTGCCATGCCACATTTGGTAAGGTGTGTGTTCGCTTTTGTGGGCAGTCTGTTCTGGAGATAGTCTGCAGGATTGCTTCGCCCCACCATTTATAAGGTAGGCCTGCATTCATAAGCATACAGTTGCTCATCTCCAGTAAAGATCTGTTTCCTTTCATCAGTGCCACTCTGCTCAGGTGTAAAACTCACCGACCTCCTATGCAGGTGTAATGTATTCATATACAGACATGAGTACATGCGGATATGGGTGAATCGTCCCATAGGAGAGCTATGTAAAGCTTCGTCTTGGACTGGGGATTCAAGTCCAAGACTATTGGTCCAATCACGTTCAAGCAAACGGGAAGCGGGAACGTGTATGATTGGTCTTCTATGCGATCAACCTGATAGGTTGTTAAATGTAAAATAGGAGTGGCTACATTAGCTGGGAATGTTTAAATACCGAGCAGTTTCAATGGACAAACTGTTCGGGCTATCAGATGTTGGACCGTGTTGGTGAAGTGATCGTAGAGCTGAATAAACCTGAGTTTTTGCTGAAATCACTCTCCGACTCATTGTTAAGCGCCGGACTTAACAGCAGGATGCCTTCCTCTGCCAAGAAGATTTGTGTGTGATGTAATATAAACTCATTTCACCACCATTATCCGTCTGTGGCATTTGAGGCTTTCTTCCAAACTTGTTAGAAACCACAATGAGCAATCTCTTGAGCAATTAATCTGTGAACTTCACTCTTCTGTCTCAAGCAATTATGCAACTGAGTACCTTGAGAAATCATCCAATAAAGATTAGAAGATACCTATTTCCACCATTTGATGTTACATGTACTGGTCCAAGGACATCACTATGAATTAATTCTAATTGCTTGCTAGTATGTCTCTCGGTTCTGGGTGGAAATGAAGGTATAACACCTTTTGCTCTTATACAACATGCAAATTCGCGTATGTCATTGATGTCACATGGCTTTAGCTTAATGCCTTTGATGAGGCTCT